GGATCTGTTAGGTTGTGTATATCTTCATTCAGTTCCGGCAGGTCTTATGAGTCTAGACATTGAACTGTTTCTTCTAGTTTCCAATTTACTAGAAAAAGTTTCCAAAATATCAAGTAAAGATCCTTTGGATTTCATTAGTATCTGTTACTGCATCCTCTTTTCATGTTTAATTTTATTAACTTGGGTTATTATGTTCTCTCTCTCTCTTCTTTCCCTCTTGCAACCCTTTCTTTTCCCCTCCCCCCACTCCTATGCACTTTGGCTAAGAGTTTCTCCATATTGCTGATAATGTATCTTTTCAGAGAGCTAACTTTGTTTCACTGATTCCTTTAGTGTTGTTTGATTGTTCCCTTCCTTCCTTCCTTCCTTCCTTCCTTTTCTGTTTTGGTTTTTCAAGATGGGGTTTCTTTGTATAGCTCTGGCTGTCCTGGAACTCGCTCTGTAGACTAGGTTGGCCATGAACCTGCCTCTGCCTCCCCAGTGCTGGGATTAAAGGTGTGCGCCAGGACTACATAGCTACTGTTGTTCCTTTAGAATTTGTTTCACTAATTTTTTATTCTGATCTTCATTATTTTCACCCATCTTCTAATTTGGGGTTTGGGTTGCTCTTGTTCTTCTAAGACCTTGCTGTATATCAGTAGGTTATTTATTTGAGACCTTTCTGGTTCTTTTAATGTAGGTCTGTATCGTCGTAACACCCCCCACCCCACCCCAACTACCTGGTAAGTTACGTTTTTACTTTCATTTGATTCTGAGCGTTCCTGGATGATTTCTTCAGTGACTGAGTGACCATTCAATGTCTGCATGCTTGTTCTTTACCCCATTATATGTGTTTTAAAATTATTCTTTGAAATTTTCATGCATGTATACCTTTTCTACGTTTCTTTCTGTGGTTTTCTATCGATTTCTAGTTTATGAGAAATTCTTTCAGTCTTTAAATATTTGATAAGATTTATTTTATGGTTTAAAATTGATCCATCTTGAAGACTGTTCCATGACCCAGTGAGCAGAAAGTATATTCACACTGTCATGCATGTTCCACAGATGTCTGTTAAGTCTGTTCCCTATGGTCTGTCTTAGCTTTGAAGTTTTTCTTTGTCATGATAACTTGCTTACTGGTGAGAGCTGGTCATCATTGTTCCGTCTGGATCTGTAATATTTGTTTATGGAACTGATTGTAAGGATGTTGATATGTATGTATATATATATATATATGTATATGTGTATGTGTATGTGTATGTGTATGTGTATGTGTATGTGTATGTGTATGTGTATGTGTATGTGTATGTGTATGTGTATATGTATATGTATATATATTCCCAACAGTTGTATCCATTGATGAATGTTTTCTTTGCTGAGAAACATGCTCTCCTTCGTTGCCTCTAATTCTGGGCTGAAGTCTTGTTTTATCACGCATGGCTCCGCCTGTTCCTGCTTGTTTACAGCTTCTGTGTGCTGGATAAATCAATCCCCTTCCAGCCTTTCCCTTTCGGTGTGACTGTTTTTGCCAATGAAGTTGGACTTTGTTTGTCACCTCATAATCTAGTCTGAAATTTTTAATTGGAGAGTTAACAACCACTTAGTTCGGTTCAAGGTCAATATTGAGAGTCATTTGTTTTGAGAGTGACTTTGTTGGATTTTTTTTTCTGTTGGTTGGTTTGTGTACCTTTTGTTCTTTTCTCTCTCCTTTATTTATTGTAGAAATTTTCCAAATGCTGAGTTAAATATGCTTGATTCCTTCCTTATTCTCACTTTTAAAATCTATTTCTATTGTAAATGTATTCTATAATGCTAGTTTAGTAGTTATGGATTGCTTTAGTTTGTGCTTACTTTGGAAAGCACTTCCTTTATATTAAAGAATACCTTTGGTCTGTTTGGTAATCTTTATAAGTGGTTGTTTACTCTCGGGTTTCAGATACAACAGTACATGTTTCTGTGGTGTTTGGGCTTTCTGCAGCGAGGTCTAATGTTGCCTTTGTTGCATTTGATCTATAATATGCCTTGAAGACATTCTTTTCTGGCTTCGTCTATTTGGAATGCTAAATGCCACTTGTACTTAGTTGTCTATTACTCTCCCTTGATTTAGAGAACATTTTAAAACTGTAATTTCAGTGGTTATGTTTTCTGTGCCTGTAGTTTGTACTACAGCCCCTTCTAGACATGGATTCTCAGGGTTGGTTTCTTGATCATGTCCTGCAGGTTATGACTATTGTGGTCAGTGAAGCTTATATCCTGATAGACAAGAAATTCTTGAGCATTGGGCAAGGACCATGGGCACTGGTTGAACCTCTGAACCCTGGCCCTGCAGTTGTCTCATCTGAAGCCCCTGCTCATCTTCAGCACAGCTGATCTCTTTGTTTGCCCCAGAGTGCTGGCTGTGGCCTAATGCATTCACCTCTTCTCTTTGCTCCAGCTTGTACTTTCTATTTTTAATCTCCTGTGCATATGTGAGGTGAGGTTACAACCAGTTCTTCAGGACCTTTGTGAGGCAGAATTCGAAGGTGTTTTGTTTTGTTTTGTTTGGTACAGTTCCTTCTGCTGTCCTTCACCGAAAGGCCCCTTGATCCCAGGCAAGGAAATATCTGTGTAGTCTCTGAAATTGAGGTATGCAAGGGTTCCAAACTCCCGAGTATACAACTTCAGACAGTTGTCTCATTTTAAGGTGACTCCTGGCATTCTCCAGGTTTGACTGTTGCTCAGTATTGAGTCTTTCCTTCAGGGTTCATGTTCTTTCCTACTGGAATAGACTTTCTTTGAGTTTGTCATCTTTTGTGAAAATGCTGTCTCTACTTTGGAATGTTGGTTGTCCTCACTTGAGCTCCAGCTGAGCAGTGGGTCATTTGCGGCTTGAGCATGCTCCATCACATCTTACCTGTGGTGTCTCCTCTCTTCAGTTTAATGACTTCCTGATTTGCCTCAAAATAATCAGGGGTACAGTTTTCTTGCTACTTGTTTTGTAGAAATATTTCAAGCTTAAGTAGAGTTGCAACTCTCAAATGTACAATGAATGATAGTTTACCAACTCACCTATTGTAAACATTTAAAATGTTTGGTTTGTATTATGTAATCATGGGATCCCATGCTCTTTTTGTGTCATGTGTGGAAACACAGGTGACACTTTCTGAGGGGAAGTTACATATGTCATTACCCTTGGCCCTAAATATACCAGTTTTGTGATTTACATGTATACAGTAATTTTGTTTATTCCACTGTCCCTAGTATGGTTTTGTTTGTTTGTTTGTTTGTCTTTTCTGTTGATTTAATTTCTATTATACTCCTCCTCCTATAATACAAGATCCAGCCTGCTGTGAATACAGTACCGACCTATGTAGGTCTTTTATATAGAACATTTTAACTTAGTACTATGTCCTTGTTGCTATGTTTTGGATATTTTTGAGAGAGAATCATACCATGTAACCCAGGCTGGCTTTCAATTCGTTCCCCAACTGCCTCAGCCTTCCCGTATCTGAGATTTCAGGCATGTAGCACCAGGCTCAGATTAGAACATCCTTAATTTTGCATTTCTCTGATGCATCATTGTTACTAACCCAAGTTTGTCCATAGGAATATATGTCCAATTTCATTTCCTTAAGATCATTCTGAGGTCCATGATGTCTACCTGGCCAGCTGTTCTTTCAGTCACACTGAATAAATTGTTTTTCTCTGCTTTTCACCATTAACTCCTTAATTGACATATTGAGGGAAGTTGCCGAGCCAAGGCTACTGGCTGGGGCCACCAGGGCCCTTTTGCCCTGAAAATCCCCACCCTACATTCCCACTCACAGTGATTGATATTGGAAGCTGTTGATCCCTGTGAACCATTATCACTTAGACTTCCTAGTTTCAGACATTCTGACGGGTAATATTCCTTCATTGTGGCTTGGCTTTGCATTTTCTTCACAGCTAATGATTCTGGGCCTCGTGTTTGGCGGCTATGTGTCTCTGTCTTCTTTGATAAATTGCCTGCTCAGATATTTCTTCTACTGTTGTTTTAAACTAAGCTGTTCGGTTTCTTATTATTGAATTTTGTGAATATATATATTTCATATATACATGTGTATGTGAAACTTATATGTTTCTGTATTGATATAAGCCAGATAAGTTGTTTCCCTCCCAAATATCTTTTTATTCACTTTTTTTCTTTCAAAGACAGGCGTTCTTACTTTCAGTGAGAATCTGGAAACTTCATTTCTTAACATTGCCCTGGAGAAATTATTAATTTATATTTTAAGTTACGTATACTAGGATATTCACTATGGGAAAAACCAGAAGCACAGAAAAACTGGGACAGCAGAATCTGGTTAAATAAATTGTGCTGATTTAACAAACGGAATGTGATTATCCATTTCAGAGGACTGTGACACTAAAGTCTGTGGCTTTGTTTTTTTATGGTGGTGAGGAAAAAGCACATAGGGATGTCTGGCTGTACCTCTGAAGTACCGGCAATGATGATGGCACAGTAGTGAGATTATGACTGCCTTTTATTTCCGCTTTTTTATATGTGGTTTTATGTTTTCTTTATAAGACTTTTTTTTCATCTAAAAGGTAGGCAAGTAACAACTTATTTGAAGATAAAATATTTTAATCTGAATTCTTTATAACCTTGATGAGGTGTGTTCAGAGACCATGGGAACAGCTAGTTTCCCGAGAGGGCAGGCCAATGCAGCTCTGCACCTGTGTTGTTTGCTGTTATCCACCTTGGTATTTACTGCCCAGCAGTGCATTCTGGGAACTCCTGTTCCATCAGTTCTGTCTTTACGCTCCCTCAAGCGACTGTGTGCTGCAGGCAGATGTGTAAGGATTGATTACCCATCATCAGGAAAAGCAAGGATCACCAATCTAGATGTCTTCCTAACTGTTAGTGGGCCTGTTTCCTTGTTTGAGTTATGCTCCTGAACACTAAGCTTAACCTGGTTTTAAGTCTTGTCAGCGCTACCAAGATGTCGCCTGACACTGCTAAGTCCCGTGTTTCACTATTGGCTTTGTTATTGTTACACAAGGAGCTATCGAAAAACCTGGAGCTGAGCACCAACAGTTTCCAGCGGCAGTTGCTTGCTGAAAGGAAAAGAGCTTTTGAGGCTTATGATGAAAATAAAGTTCTTCAAAAGGAACTGCAGCGGCTCCACCACAAGCTAAAGGTAAGTATGCTCTTCTAGACTGCATGATTTCCCATGTCATATAAGTCACATGAAAACCTAGTACTTAAAATAATGGTTACTTTTCATATTGGCTACTATATAGTCTACCAAATTCTAATATCTGTCACTTGGAAACAAAGCATTGTTAATGTAATTTCTATAACGAAGTAAAATACTATATATGCCAATAGGAACAATGTAAATGAAATGAAAAATAGAGTTCTAGAAGAGGATCATGGGAAGGAGCAAACTGCGTCACACTCTTGGATGATCTAGCATTCTTCTTCACATGACCCTGGCAGGGCTTGCTTTTAAAGTTCTTTTGGTTAGAGGCAACACAATTCACATTAGTTAACTGTGTTGAAGACACTTGCATTTGACAGAGGTCATTGATGGGCTGAAATTTTGCTCAGAATTCTGCAAAAGTATGCATTATTTTATATATAGTTTTCTCTTGAATCACCAAGTTCTCAGAAAAAGGCATTATTCCCATATTGTGAAGAGTTCTTGGGTTGAAAAGTGCGATTCAACTTTTAAATCATTAGTAACTCAAAATCCATACTTGTGAGAGGCTCTGCCTTTGTCTCTGTGGCTAAGCCTGGATGATAGCTAGGCTTTAGTAACTCTGGGGAAGAAGTGGAGCTTGTGGTGTTTGCATCCCCTTCTCTCTCCCCATTCTCCCTCTTTCCCCCTCCCTCCTGCCTCCTTTTCTTTACCTCCTTACCTCTTTCTTCCCCCTGTACTTAAAATAGTGGTCACCCTTCATATTAACTACTATACAATCTACCAAATTTTAATATCTGCCACTTAGAAACAAAGCATTTTTAATGTCAATCAACACAATGAAGATGTTTAATTTCAAACTGTTTACCTTCCTTCCTTGTATTGGGTTTGTTTTCAGGAGAAGGAGAGAGAATTGGATATAAAAAACATCTATGCTAATCGCCTGCCCAAATCCTCTCCAAAGAAGGAGAAAGAAATTCCAAGGAAACATGGTATAGTAGGATTATTGCTGAAACTCGAGCTGTTAATAACAGATGATTCTAAAGTGAAGGGAAGGGAAGGAGTGCCCTTGGAATAGATTTGATCTTTTGTTATGAATGAGATTTACTAGGAATCACATTTCTTTCAACTTTTGTCTTTGTTCAAGAGAGGTCATTAAACTCATGTGTAAGAGGGACAGGGGCATGGCTTGGGGGCTTAAGAGTGCTTGCTGCTCTCTCAGAACACTCTTGTAAGTTGCCTCACAGTGACCTCAGAGTCCAGCTCCAGGGATCTGACACCCTCTTCTAGACTCTTTGAGCACTCAGACATACATGGCACACAGTCACACAAACCTATATAAATAAATTAAAAACTAGAATTTGTAGAATTAAATAAATACAGTTTATGCAGCCTTTGAAAAGCTTCAATATGTTTCTTGCTGAAGCATTGCAAAGCATGCTTTTATATTAATTAACAAACTTAATTTTAATAAAAGGTTAAAAACCTTCTTATTGGAATTTTGATAACATAAAATTATATACTTATTCCCAAGTTTGAAGCACCTACTTCTCACAACTGTACTCTCTCCTGTGGCCTCTTCAGTCGCTCTTCCTACTTCCTGGTGTATTTTGAAGCAAATCCCCAATAGTATTTCCCTTCACTTCACAGTTTGTATTATTGTGCAGTTTTACTTAAAAAAAAACAAAAACAAAAGTATTATTCTCCTATGAATTACAGAATTTTTAAAGTATTAACTTTGGAAAAGATTGTTAGCATCTGTAGTATAATTGCCCGCAAATCACATAATTGGTAGTTAATCCTTCATGAACAAAGTGTGTGCTCCCGCTAAACTGGTTGTTTTCGATTGACTATATATCCATATTGTTAGAAAGCTTTTCTATGGTTTTCTTGGTAGTATCCTGCCAGAGTGACTTTACGGACCTGTGTACAAAAGGAGTACAGACTGCTGAAGACTTTGAGCTGGAAGAGTTTCCTTTCACAGCACAGACAGTCCTGTGTTATGAAAACAGATGGGATGGACCAGAATATCTTTCTTCGGTGAGTTTAGCACAGTGATTGGAGTCAAACTCCAGGAAAGCCTTCTGTACAGATGTGGTCAAAAGTTCACACATAGGTCCCACCTTGAGCTAGCCCTGTGTCCTCTGGGGAGGTGTACTAATCACCTTCTTGTTTCTGTGACCAAATATCTCATAAGATGCAGCCTACAGAAGAATGGGTTCATCCTGGCTCTTGACTTGAGGGAATGTCATCCATCATGGTAGGGGATGTGAGTCAGGAAGCAGAAGAATGCGGCCACTCGGCCCTCCCTCTTCTTTTTCCCTTTTGTCCCCAGCCATGAGGGTAGGTCCCCACACATCCAGCATGGGCCTTCCTCCTCAGTTCAGTTCCTCTGGGGTACACTCAGATGTGCATCTCCTAGACAATTGATTCTAAGCTGACAATGAAGGTTGACCATCATGGGGGGCTAATAAGTCAGTTTATAACATTATTTGAGCTAAATACTACATAATTAATTATTTTTTTTTATAAATAATTTATTTATTTTTGAACATGAAATGCTTTTTTATAGCATGTTTCACAAGGGGAGGGGGTAAGAGGGGCCAGATGGTGGAAAAGTACAAAATCTTCTTGGCCTGTGCCTTGAAACATGTCATGGTCTATATGGTACACTGCCTTGAATTATGATCTACCTGCTGTTCTTCAGAAGATATGGTACACTGCTTGAGTTATGGTCTCCCTGCTATTCTTAAGATGATATGGTACACTGCTTTGAGTCTATCTGCAGTTGCTAAGCAGGATCTTGCAGTTGCCACGCTTCAGAGGACATTGTGCAGGTGGGGAAAGGTAGGGGGTGAGGGTAAGGGCGAGGGTCCTGGCTTCTGGCATCTCCCCCTTCTCTGTTTAGTCCTTCAACCATCGATGTGACTCGTCTCACATCAGTGTTTTGGGGTTGTGAACTTGTCTAAGACCCCCCATAATTAGACATCCAAATTCAAAATTCACATAGTTGGGATTGATCATAAGATACATAATTAATTATTAATTAGAGATTTTGGACAAAATGTAGATTTAAAAGATTCAGTGTGGCTGTCAGTGCCTGTGTTCTCCAATTCAATATCAATCATCTTAGTTGGCTATCAAAGCTGGGTAGTAGCCATTTCTAGCTAGCTGGATTAATCAGATTTTGTTGTAAAAATAGACAAACCCAAGCTACCTTTACAGCTTACCTCTTGACAGTTTTATGTAGATTTTTGGTTTTATTTTTATTATATTGATTGGTTCTCATATATCTTATGTTTTCTCTTTAAAATTTTAATTAAATTAAAAGGTAATCTTTTCTTTTTTAAGCATCTTTCTAAACATGGTAACTTGTGATTCATTAATTTATTAAGTGAAGATTCAATTTAATTTGTAACTTAGTGATCATGCTTAATGGATCATCTACCAAGTTTAATGTCTGTTTCCCCTTTTTCCATATGAATTTGTATTCTTGGATGGATAACAGTACCTGGAATACCAGGAGCGAAATGAACATGGATCAGAGACTCTAAGTTCCGTTTTGGAACAAGAAGAAAAGTACAGTGAAGATCAGGACTCATGTTCTGCAAAGCAGGAGGCAGGGAAGCCTGAGAGTGGTAAGAGTCTGTGGGAGCAGTGGGCGGGCTGTCAGGTGGCTGCATTGGGACAGGAAGAGGCTGAGGCAGCAGCGGAGGGTGGAAAATGGGGAGTCAGAACAGCTGGATAGAGTTAGGAAGGAAAGGAAATGAAGACTCCAAGTTGCTACTGGGGCTTGGGAATCATGAATAAATCAACTTCAGTGAATTTAGAAGAAACAACATTTACTCAAAGAGGAGAAATTTTCCTTTGTGGTGACTAAAACTTGAGAAAGAACCGAGAGCTCTCTATGTTGCATTGGCCTTGAAACGGAGTCATGGGCTAGCTGAAACATAGAAGTCACTGCTCTGCAAGGCCCTAAGTGTTTTCCTCATTTTTGTTTGTTTTTAATTTGCAGATCTTTACTAGCATTGCTTATAAGTTTGGAGAGTTAGTTCACACAGTTTGCATGATGGAAATAAACTTCATTTCCATCTGGATCTAATGTGCTTGAGGTGTGGGCACCAGGGGTCCCAGACTGACTTCTATATCCCAGTTAATTCCATGGAAGTTGCATATAGAGAAATCTGTTGAGTTTGTTTGTTTTGAGCTGAAATTCAGGGACCAGAAATTGGTGATCCAATTGTGACTTCAAGTTGTTAATATGCATATTGGATGGGAAGTGCTGTTTCTGTTACTGTGGGCCAGAGGCTGAGCAAGATGCTTTTATGGATTAAGCCACAGAATGGAAAATTGTCATAGGCAGTTGATTTTAGGGAACAACAACAACAAAAAGGAATAAAATGACAGAAGACTGTGGCCTGGTCCCCTAGGCTCCCCTCAACCTCCCATGTTCTATACAGGGTGATCTGATGTTAGAATGATATCAGAATATATGCTATCTGCTAAAATTATATTTTAATTCTTTCACTAGAAAAATGACTTTAAACTTATAGAAAACTGCCAAGAATGGCCATAAACAATGACAACCAACCAAACAAACAAACAAACAAAAAAACCCAAAAAATCCTTTGAACCCTTACAAATGAATTCTGCACCTCACAGCGGTTCCCTCTAGAATGTGGCACGTGTTTGTTCCAGGCACAGACATTCTCTTATAATCTCTGTACAGTTACCACATTCAGGAGCTCTCTGACACAGTTACCGTGGCTGTTGTCCAGACTGTGATCTTGTTGGTAAACATGAGATTGTTCCTTGAAGCATTTTTTTCCCTCAGAACTTGACTATAAATTGTGTTTTAATTCTCTAGGTTCTTTTACTCTGTTCTGGAGTGTTTTTTGCTTATTTTTTTTTTTTTGGTCTGTGAGTTATATATGTGTGTATACACACACACATACACACACACACACACACATGCACACACATTTGTTGGTGCTGGCGGTGGTTTTTCAGGACAGGATTTCTCTGTGTAGCCTGGAACTCACTCTGTAGACCAGGCTGGCCTCAAACTCACAGAGATCTACCTGCCTCTGCTTCCTGAGTACTGGGATTAAAGGCATTCACCATGGCCTCTTGGATTGAAATTAATATTTTCGATGAGTATATACATCTTAAAAATGCTCTTTATTTGAGATTTAACTGAAATTTTTGTCTTGATTTGAGTTGATGAACTTACTATTTGAGATGCATGTAAGGGTTGCTTTCTCAGGACAGCCAAGAATTTATATGTAAGCTCATTGTTCTGTGTGTTTCGTCACACATCATGAATTGGACAGTACTCCATAGAGAACCTTCCTCCTGCTACACTGAAGACCAAAGTATGCCATGGGACCCTTAAGTGCAATTTGAATTAATTATTTTCTAATCCAGAATGTCAAGCGTAGAAACAAAATATTACAATGTCCATTACATCTTTCTTAGAATGTCAAATGTAGATTAAAAGCCATTTTTTTTCAGAAGATGGTAGCTGAATTTTCATATTTAAAAATACTTATTGCTTTAAAATTCCTTTTTTAAAATTTCATTTTATACAGAGTGGGAAAGAGAAGAGCTTGATAAGGTGAAAGGCAAGTCGTCTTTGCTAGGGCGAGCAGAGAGGCTGGCGTTGGAAGCTGGAAGGTTCCCAGCGGAAAATTATCAAACTCAGTCTGTTGATAAATTTGAAGATGAGGCAGAAAGACTAAAGACAGAAATGCTTCTTGCCAAACTGAACGAAATCAACAATGAACTCCAAGATCCTCAGAGCCTCAGCCGGCCCCCTTTGCCATTGCTACCCAACTTCGAATCCAAGCTGCACTCTCCAGACAGAAGCCCCAGACCTTACACATTCCCTGAGTCCTTAGACAGATCATTTAATGGACAACAGTTGCCGGACATGAGTTTTTTAACTCCGAGGGGAGAAGGCCGGAGTCCAGGACCGATCCGAAGCCCAGGACCGATCCGAAGCCCAGCCCCTCCAGATGAATTTTCATTTGGTAGCTATGTGCCTTCATTTGGAAAGACATTAGGGAAGTCAAATCCACCTAGCCAAAAAAGTAGCCTTTTAGATTTCCAGAGCAACAGTTCTGAAAGCCTGAGTAAAGACAATCTAGACTTCATCTCGAGGAAAGAGAAAAAGGCGACCCTGATGGAGCAGCTGTTTGGCCCCAGTGCCAGCAACACCACAGTCTCCTCCAAGAGCAGTGACTCACATTTCCCTGCTGCCAGCAGAGGGGACTTGGACCCTCTTCATTTCCTCTCTGGGGACAGAAGCAGCAGAGTCCGGGAGCCTGATGATGAAGATAAAGACCTTTTCCTCGGCGAAGGAAGAAGTTTTAATCCAAATAGACACCGGTTGAAGCACACAAGTAATAAGCCAACAGTCACGGCCGTTGACTCTGTTGACGAGGACATTGAAGAGGTCACCCTCAGATGATTGACTGGAGCACACAGAGTATATATATTTTTTCAATTGTAAATATTAAAGTATTTTAATACAGTATTTATTATAAACATTTAAACTTTCAATGGTAAAATAGCCTTAGTAGGGAGTAATTTTTAGTGGCTAGATATGGCATAATTAAACAAATAGTGCTGTACCACAAAGCCACTTGCTAAGAATGCTTTTTTTGTTTTGAAATGAACCCAAAGGAGAGTTTTTGCTTACTGTTTTTCTGTTATTACAGCTAGGTCTCACTGAGCTAGCACTGTGGGAAGTTTTACTTCACTAGAATCTTCCTTGTTTCTTTTCCTTCTATTTTTGATCCAACCTCAGTGAGCCTAAGTATTGTTTTCCCACTGATGGCTAGGTGGAAATTGAAGGTCTCCAGAAGGATTAAAGACCTCAGGTGGCAGACAGCAGTGGGACTTAGGAGCTGTGCCCTTGTCTGAGGTGACAGAGCCAAGCCACTCTTGAGTGGCGATGGCAATAATGTTGGGACTTCCTGTTCTTGTGGAAATATCCCTGGGTACTGAAGTGTACACTGGGCGGTTACTCCTGAGAAGTAGTTGATACTCCTCAGTTGCAGGCCTGAAGTCACTCACTGCTGCTTTGCCAGCCACTTGGATCACGGGAGAGCCCAGGAGACATGGCTGCCTTAATGGCATCCCTCTCTGTGGCTGCAGGAGGCTTGGGGACACAGTCCTACCTTTCCTCTTCTGTACACTCTGTATACTGGTGACCAGATGGAAGATTCCCTACCAAATACAGGCAGTAGAAGAAATGCCAGCCCAACACAGAATGATTTTCAACTCAATTATGTTTCCAGAGTGATATGTTTGGAAATTTTAATACATATTTTTAAGATTTGAACTTGTGCTCAAACTCAGGAGACATCAGTCTGATACTCTTGGGTTTACAGGACTGATGTTGATGCAACCTCACAAAGATGTTTTTAGAATTGGGGCTCCTGCCTTGCTGAGTAGATGCAATAGTTTTCTGTTGAAAGGCATAGGTTTCCTTCCACTCAGTTCAGGACAGCTGCAGAAGCATTTGTTGACTTGGTCTGGTCTGGTCTGTTGGAGCAGTAATTTATCAGCTGAGGAGAAACACTGTATATCACGTGGGTAACCTGAACAGTATGTCCATTTGTTCATAGTATGCATCTTACGCAAGGCATACGTACTGATTGGGGGATGGAGTTGCCATGGTGTCTAGGTTCTTCTCCTGATACTTGGTAAGACCTTTCCTGATCAGTCCTAATTCACAGCTGTTCTGCCTGTCCTCCCCTTCCCCCTGGAATGAGTTCTTGTCATTTTTTGGGAACAAACTCTCCTCAAAGTGCTAAATAATATTTAAAACTTTTCTCAAAAGAGGATTTTAGGTCTTCTGTGAATAAGCATTTACTATATTGCAAATCATTGTAATATAAGTAAACATGTTGTTTGTGATACAGTTCTTGATAAAGCATTATGTAATGTTAATTTTGTTTATGGCTATAAGTTTTCTACCAAAGTATTCTAATTTTAAGGTTTTTAAATTGTTTTTTTTTTCCAGAAAAATTTTTACTCATTACTTTCATTATATTTATGCCTTTTTCTACTTGAAAGTCTACTTAACCCAATGAAACAAAGAATTATTAAATTAAGTTAAAAGCTTAAAGGCATTATGATGTTTAGTATTAAAATTTGATATTAAAATGTACAGAACTTAGAGAGCAAATCAGTTTTTTTTCTCAATGTCAAGTTGAATTTATTTGTACTCAGAACTCTTACTAATAAAATGTTAAAACACACCGTGATTCTTTATTTGAATGACACTTTATATTTGAGAGACGAGCTGTGGAAGCAGGATCCAGAAGGTTTTTAATTCATTTTTCTCCTTTATCTTGTTCAGGACTTTTAGTTGAAGCACATGAATTTGTATTAACTCAGGCTAGTCAGTATGGCCGTCTTATCAGATAATTATAGTTCTAATTAATCTCTTCAATCTTATTAGCTCCTGCAAAGATGCATATGTCATGTGGTAATAAAGAGAAGGTGTTGGCAGGGAGGATGAAGCTGAGTGGGGAACACAGGCCTGTTTCCTGGCGGACTCTGGGTTTCCTCATCTTCATTTCATACTCCAAGCTGGTGTCCCTGGCTCCTCAGGACACCAGGAAGGGAAATGTGTACCGAAGCAACCGTGTGAATGCTTTAGATGTATAGAGAGTACCCTAACTGGACCACAGAGAATACCCATAAAGCCTTTTTCTCAGCTTCACAATACGTACCCTTTACACATTAAAGTCCTTTTAAAAAAAAATTGAAAGTGCTCTCCTCCTACTGAGGTGAGTAGAGAGGGTGGAGACTCACCCTGTAGGTGCTGCATTCATTTGGCAATTTGTGGATTGCTCAGTTTATAATGGTCTTCTGTGGTCTTTAGGTGGTTATAAGTAAGGGGAACACAGAGGTTAATGCTCCACCAAGTGCCCAGCACATTATAAGCACTTGATAAACAGCTGCTGTTATATAGCTAATTATGATCATTGGAATAAATCATTGAAAAAGTGGAGCAGACACACACACCCCAAGACTGGGGACACAACACAAGCAGTTAAGCTTCGAAGGCGTACCATAAGGTGTACATACTAAAGACACCTTGTCTTGGGTCTGTACTTACTGGTCATTTATTTAGCACTGTGAGCTTTTCTACAGAACAGCAGAAAAAGAACTTAGGAAGAGTTTCTCCAGACAGGTTTTGTGGCATGAGGCAAAAGGAAAGCCTCACAACAATTAAAGAGTCTGGACAGTGCTGGGTCTTAGGTTGCGTGAGTTAATAATTCACACCCCACTTCTGCTACCATGAATGTGTCTGGATAAGCTTAGAAACCTCTGCATCTCCCTTTTTCTCTCTGCTACTGAGACAGTCTATCTTGTGGGGCTTGTTTATATACATTCAGTGAGTTGATATACCCAAAACCATGCTTAGAGCCACAGGTACTCAAATGTTAGCTGCTTTGTTGTTGTTATGGAAAGGAATTAAGAAGACGGGGAGCGTAGTTTTTAAATGCCCAAGACAGCAGTTCCACCTTTCATGTCCTTTGGTTCATTTATACTTCACAGGGCTTTTTCCTGAGGAGCTGGTACTTTGTTAATCATTGCTTTAGAATTGAGGCAAACATGTCACCTGTGTTACAGTATATACCCAGATTTCGTAGGTAGAATATTGCACTCAATACTGGCAACATAAGAAATAAAACCAAATGAGCAAACAAAAAAATTGTACATCAATACTCAACAAAAACAGCTTCTACAAAACTTCTTACTTTTGTCTTGTTTTCAGGTAATCTTTTGGTAATAAATTGGTAGCTTCAAACCTACGTGATCCCTTCAGCTGGCACTGTCTCCCTAAAATGTCTACAAACTGGCAGAAGAGTCATTGCCCATGTTATGCAGTGATATGCCCACTTTCTGTACTGGTTGCCTTAATCAGGGAAGGATGGACTCTCTGCTCTTACCCTGCTCAGGACAAGGTTAGGAATGGGAAAGGCACAGTTCCACCGATGAAGCATTTTGGAGAGTTGGTGGCTGCTGGGGAGAGTCAGTTTTCTTTAAGAGTGCAGCCTCTGGTAGGTTCACTCAGATTCAGTGGTTGGCCCAATCCATGAGTATATGGGCGACACAACCTGGAGTTGATTTTTCTTAAAAAACATGAAGTTGGGAGGGGGTGGGTTTGAGGGGTAGTGTGTACGGGTGAATGTGATAAAAAAAAATATGTTGTATGTGTGTATTAAATTCTCAAAGAATAAAGAAAAGTTTTTGTTTAAAAAAAATAATAGCTTATTTCTGGCATATGTCTCCTCTGCATTTGTGAATATATTCAGTCTGTCCATAACACAAAGTAAAAATTAGAAATGAATCAAAACAGGATAGAAACACATTTGGCTTTGAGGTCAGGAAATAGGTTAGACTTGACGGCTTAGAAATTATAATTTTCATCAAATTATTTGTCTTCAAGTTCCATATATGTGAAGTGGGACTGATCATATCTTTACATGCTTATGAGAATCAACTGAAGTGGTATAGTTTTAGAAGAAACAATAGAATGAAGCATGTCGTGTCAGCTCTGTACTTAAGAGATACACAATTGGTCAGGAGAGATGATTAAAGGGATAAAGCAAAGTTATTGTCTGCCTGTTACCTCTGTGCTCAGATGAGGAGAAGGAAACCCTGGGGCAAGCGAGCTAGCTAGACCAACCAAATCAAATGGATGGGCTCAGGTTTGGCAAAAGACGGAATAGAATGATCAAGGAAGATGCCTTATGTCAACGTCTGGCTCACACACACACGCACACACATTCTTGCACACACACACACACACACACGGACGTAAACACAAATGTACTCACTACATTGATACACAAAGCATTCATCGCCATCCAAGTGTCTTTTAAATAGCTGAGGCTGTCAATATTTGAAAAGGTAGGCATGTTCTTAGCCATCTTCTAGTGAAATGGCTCTCGCCTCTCTTGACTCGTGGAGAGGCTGCAGCCCTCCAGAGAAGGCATCTGGCTTTTCTGGGAAGCAACAGCCTGCAGCTGTGGGAGAAACAAGTTTGCACAGAATTTTGTTTCTCTGCAGTACTCATGGAGAAATCAGAAACCAAGGAATTGCCTGTCTGCCTCCCTTGATGACTCTCAAGCAGAGTACAGCGATCCTTTCAGCTTGGTGCTATCCCCCTTAAAATGTCTACAAACTGACAGAAGGGTCATTGCCCATGTTATGCAGTGATATGTTCACTGTCTGTGCTGAACCCTGCTAGAGAATGTCACCCAGGCAGCAGTGTTGGGGATCCCCTACATACCAGGGCTGACGAGAGCTAGCTGCCTCTCATAACTGATCTGATTAAAATCTATGTCCTGTGCAGTATAGGAATTGATTCTGGCTAGGGGAATCCTTCAAATAATGGGTACAAACCCACATGCCACTTAAAATAATTTCCAAAAGGATGTAAAATCAGTAGACCCAAAAAGCACTGACCAGGGAAAATGGTGTGTATAGAACAGTGAGGTCCGTGAGCCTTAAGTCTAGTTTTCTGTTGCTATCTAAGCATACCTCATCCTAGGCAGGGCGTAGTTTCTCTGGACAGGACACTGTTTTTCTCTTGAACAAACTGAGCAACATTTAAATAGATCTGCTTTATGCTTCAGGCAGTAATTTTCAAAGCGTGTGTCCCCAGAACTGCTGAAGCATGTGGAGCTAGACAACGATGCCTGTTGACAGCTATGTTATAAACCTCCTGTGTCGAGACAGCGTCAGAGCGCATCTGTATTTGAGTGAGCTCCTGATATTTGAGGACATCCTGATAGATACAGCTGGAGTTTCAGAACCATTTTTATAGGGAAATCAGAGGGAAAGGAGATGTTCTTTTATGTACAGGAATGGCTGCAGTGTTTTCAAACTCAAATCCAGTGCTTGGAGCTTGTCATGCCAGTGTACAGATGAGATGTGGGGACTCTGCACCTTATACTGCATGTTCTCTCGAAAGAAACTATCTCAAAAGTGTGTATGTGTGTGTGTGTGTGTGTGTGAAGATGATGTTCCTGGGTGCTGATAAGGCTACATGAATGTTTATAGCTGGCCTGGTCGCTTCTGGAGAGTCTACTGTCTCTGTCACCTGTCTTCCTGTAGTTTGCCAAGATTACTGGCACTTACTGCATCCAGCTTTTATGTGGGTTCTGGAGATCCAAACTCAGATCACTAGGTTTGTATAGCAAGTACTTTTACCTGCTGAGCCATCTCCCCAGCCCAGAAATTATCTTTGTAATGGCTACAATTAGTTGTGGTCTGTTACAGTCCAGTTTTCTGGCTAGTATCTCAGAAAATTTTAATGAGACAGAAAGAGAGAGAGAGAGAGAGAGAGAGAGAGAGAGAGAGAGAGAGAGAGAGCGCAAGAGAACAACCAATGCCAGAACAACCAATGCAAGAACAATTTGGCAATTCATATGACATTCTTCTATTACATCTTATGATCTCAGATTTCCAGAAAAAGGGGGAAAAACTTGAAAATGCATAGTATTCCCTCAAGAAGGACTAATAAGTGGCTTCAGTTTGATATTCTGTATGAGCATGCAATTACTTAAGCTAACAGGTCTCTTAAAAATTTTAGGTTTTTTTTTTTAAGTTTAGAAAATGGTGTGTATGTGTGCATATACACATCTATGCTTGTGCGTGTATGTGTCCTTAGTGGTCCAACCAAAAACTTGTGAATACAGCTTAAGAAACACTAACAATTTTTAAAAGTATTGGTCTGCATGAAGGAGTTGGTTTACGTAAAAGTAAAATGGAACTAACTACTTGAACTCTTATACATCCTTGAGCACCTGGGAAGATGTTATGCCATTTATGGTTGTGGTGGTTGGAAAGAAAATGGTCCTTAAAAGCCTATAGGGAGTAGCAGTATTAAGAGGTGTGGCCTTGTTGGAGGAAGTAGTCAGTGGGGACAGACTTTGAGGTCTCAGATGTTCAAGCCATGCCCAGCGTGTCTCACTCTTGCTGCCTGTGCATCCAGATGTAGATCTCTCAGTGACCTCTCCAGCGTCGTCTCTGTCTGTACAATGTCATGGTTCTCACCATGATGATAATGGGTTAATGGTTTAAACTTCAGGAACTGTAAGCCATCCCCAATTAAATGTTTTACTTTATCAGAGTTGCTGTAGTCATGGTGTCTCTGCACAGCTAACTAATAAAATGGTCAATTCCCATTGGGTCTTTATGAAGTAGAATTTTGTTTGCAATGCAAATCTCCACATCTT